TTCCCCTTTTGGAGAGGGTGCAGGCTGGGCTGAGGGGACCTCCCCCCCCCCCCCCCGCACTAATTTCATGCACTGGGCCTCTAGTCTTCTTAATAATAGCTTTTTAAGAAAACCTCTCAGCTCCCCTTTTTAGACAAAATAAACATAATTTCCTCAAGGGTGCCATAGCTCTATAACCGATTATTTGAAATTTTTATACTGTTGAGTTCAAAGGAACACACAGATAGGCTGATCCAAAAAAACAAATTACTCAGATTTTGTTACAACCCGGATTCTGACTCAGTGGGGATGGGGCAGGACCTGAGGTTTAATATTTCTAATGCTGAAGCTGCTCATAGATTGAATATGTCCTGAGTGACAAGGTTTTAGAGACTGTTAAGGGGCAGTGAATTAAGATAAAAACAAGTAAAGCTTTATGTTTCTTCTATTAATATGGATGGATCCTGCACTCTGTAGATTCTGTTAACTCTCATTTATTCTCATTAATCTAAGTCAACTAATTACCCAGCTGTGGTGGGCTCATCTCCCCACACCCAGAGACAGTGCATCTTGCCAGTGATCTGACTCGCAAGCTTCCGTTCTTCACCCCTACCACTCCCCAGGGAATGTATCTCCTTCATGTCATAGGCAGCTATGATAAGGTGTGCTCCCACCTAATTGAGGCTGATATGAATCCCTAGGCCCTCCAGGCACTAAGTAATCTTTGGCAGAGGGAAGTGTTCCTTTTGGCACTCTGCCTCCATCCAACTGGTTTGTGTAACAGTTGGGCTCCAGGAATGGCATCTGAGGCAAGTCTGTATCCTACAAAAACTGGCAGGAAAAATTCATCATGCGCTTTTAAGATTCTCGTCAGAAATGCTCATAACTTGTGGGAGCCTTGGCTATTGAGTGACCTGCCCATGACCTTCTAAAAGGGCATGCCAGGATGAAATGCAACTCTTTATTCTGCCTGAATGTTTCCCTGATGATTTTCTGGGGCTCTTTTTTTTTTTTTTTTTTCTTTCTGTAGTCTGCAGATATTCTTGTAGACTACAGACAGGAAAGCAGTTCCTACAGGTTTGTTCCTGAGTCTTTATAAGCAAAGCTAAAAAGTATTATTTCTGTCATCTTCCTGGGGAACTTTGCTATGGAATTCCCCCCACCTGTCAGATAGCAACAATGGCTTTTAGATTCAAGAGATCTGTCTCAATACAAAGTGGGAAATGATGATGTCAGGTTGGTGAGGAGGCGTTGTTAAGTGGCCTGGTACAGTGGTTTATTGCCTAGGGGCCCTGCACCCCCAGAGTGTCTGAATCTGCAGACCTGGAGCACAGCCGGAGAATTTATAACATCCTCTTTCTTTCCCATGTCTTATGATGTGGTTACATAAAAGGCGATTGGTTATAATCAGGGAAGTGGGCATGTGTTTACATTAGCACATGCATTGTTGATTGTGATGGCCATCATTACCCCCCAATCCTTGTAGGTTTATTAGCTAAACAAAACAAAGAGACCTATGGAAGTATCACCCCTTCTAATGTTCCTTTGTGGTAACCCAGCTCATGAGCTGTAAGACCTCTTGGTTTGTGCTAGTAGAGACCTGATCTTCTAGAGTAAGGATATATTGAATCATAGGATGGGTCAGTTGGGAAACTTGTTTCTTTTTCACCTCTGATCATGAAAATACATGTTTTCCAAGATGATTATTTAAAAATAAAAATGAATGTGTTTTCTTTTAATATGTGTTTTTGATGGCTGGGATGGGGAAAGGGAAGGGGAAGTTTGATTGATCTGGCTATTTCCGTCTCTCTAAATCCCTTAGATGTACCTTGTTTATATCACATGAATAAGATGGTTGATTTTGTTTGGTTTTGGCAGTAGTCCTTGTTTTTGAAGGTGACTAATGTTACACTTTCTATTGAAACAGTTGTGGAGCATCCCAGGAGGTACACAGTGATGTGGACCTTGGTCTTGGTGACCTTCCTTCAGATGAAGAGGAAATCATCAACAGTTCTGATGAAGACGATGTCAGCTCTGGTTCTAGCAAAGGGGAGCCTGACCTGCTGGAAGATAAACAGGTAGATGTTGGTATTTAATTGTGTCTACTGTTGTGTTTGTTGATCTCTCATGACACTCAGAAATAATATTTATCAGTGTGATAGACACAAAGTCCCTAGTTTTCTTGAAATTTATAAAACATTTTTCTAATTTAAATTTAATTTCTTCTAGAGTAGCCCACATAACATCTGGTTGTGAAAATCAGCAGGGATTTCTGTCTGTCCTGGTGAGACAGAAAGTTGCTGGAAACCCAGGCGTCCTCTTAAAGGGCCCGCACACAAACTCTGGTCATAGGCACTCACACTGGACTCTGGTGTTGGGACAGTGACTCAGGGGGCACCAGAGACATACAAGGAGAAACTGAGCTGTGTGTTTTCAGGGTGAGTGCTGGAGAGATGGCTGCCATTGTCCCTTTATTCAGGCATCATCTCTCCTGTGTTGATCACTCCCCTTCCTCTCCCCCCAGACAAATCTGAACCTGCTTTAGTCTGGTGTCCCAATTATGCCCCAATTAATTAATTATCTGCTTAGATTTAGTGGGACATAAGAAGGTGACCAGGGGTCAGCAATAACGGCCTATCCCCTGGTACTTCAATGTCTAGACAGTTGAGCCAAACCGGAACATATGAACACACAAGACAGAATTAGTATGCAATCACACAAGGTTTATTTACCTATTCCTAGTGGGTCCTAGGCTCCAGCAAAGGCCACCCGGCGATGCACACCGAAAGACGGACGAGACAGACAGGCAGCCGCAGTTGGTTCAGGCTCGCACAGCAGAGCAGTCAGTCAGGGGCTTATCTCACGGAGC